CTCTCCCTCTCCCTCTCGCTCAGCTGCGGACCTGGTGGACACTCTGCTGCCCCTCCTCAGGAACCCGTCTCGGACTCGGCGGCAGGTGGTCAACCAGCTGGTGCTCCTGGGTCTGGTGGACAGTGTGAAGGACCTCAAGAAGGAGAGGTGAGGCTGTCCGGGCCCGGCGCCGGCCCCGCTGAGCAGCGCGCGCAGCCCCGCTCACCTGCCCCCCTCGCTCTCCCTGCAGGAGGGGCACGCGGATCGTCCTGTGGACGGAGGAGCAGGAGCTGGAGCTGCAGACTCTGTTCGAGGAGTTCAAGGACTCGGACGGTGCGTCTCCCCGCCTGCTGGCGTCTTCTGGTCAGATCGCAGCCCCTTGCCCAAAGAGGGGGGAGAGCGGGCTGCCGAAAGCCTCCTGTTTCTCCCCTGTGTCCGGAGGGTCCTGTCCCCGCGAGACCCTTTACTGGGTCTTACGGGATCATCGGAGCAGATGCTAAGCACAGCTGTGCTCTTGAAAGCACCATTGTTTGCTTCTCCCTTGGATAGGTTTTTGGGTTTTGCTTTGGGGTTAATTTAGAACTGTTAAAGCTGTGGCACCTGGAGCCCAGGTCTCAGCAACTTGGAGAAGGCCAGGCCTGGCCAGTACAGTACAGGTCAGTATGGGGACCAGCGGGCTGTTTCTTCTGGGTTGTGCTGTTGGTTCTCCAGCAGCAGGCGGTCTTCCCTCTCTGGAAGCCAGCAGGGTGATGAGGGAGCTGTGCTGTAGCACGCTCCATCTTTCAGACGTGACCTTAACCTGCCCTCCTGCCTCCACCTGAGACTCGACGGCTTTCAGAGCACATCTTCCACGAGCAGGGTTTAGAAATTCTGGCTTTCGGAAGCCCTGTAATCCGGGTTGGTGTCTGTGAGGAGGCTTTTGTATCCGCGTCTTGTGACGGCGCCGACGCCGCTGTGTTCCAGACATCCTGGGGAGCATCCTGAAGAAGCTGACGGCGCGGCGCTCGCGGGCCCGCGTGGTGGACAAGCTCCTGAGCCTGGGCCTGGTGTCGGACAGGAAGGAGCTGTACAAGAGGAGGCGCCGGAGAGCCGCGGGCAAGAGCTCGGGCATGGTGAGGTCACGCGCTCGTGCACACTTCCACGCCTGCTCCCTGCTCCTGCCGGAGTTCTGGGAATCGGCACGGCTCCAGCCCGGAGTAGACATGTTTGAAGAGAAAAGACTTTCTGCCAGAATGTTTCTATTCCTTAATTGACACCGTTTATAAGGGCACAAAGGTGTGTGAGAGCACATCTCCTGCTCGCTGAGAATGTGCTTTTGTTGGCAATACAAGTGACCGCAAGGGTTGAACTGACGTCTCTTCTTCCAGATCAGACGGGAATCCCTCCACAGGGATTGCTCAGGTCCACCATGCCCACCGGCCAGACAGGGCTGAGGGCCCCGATCTGACCAGTCTGCTCACGGCGCTGTCTCTCTGCTCTCAGACCGAAGAGGAGTTTTTCTCCGACCTGGCTGGGGCTACGCAGGAGGAGCTATCGGAAGGAGAGGCGGAGGCTGAGGAAGAGGAGGAGGAGACGGAAGAGAGCGACGAGGAGGAAGAGGAGGAGGGGGAGAGGGACGGCGGGAGCAGGGCGGCGCAGAGCCATGGCGCGAGAGATGGTGGCCTGCAGGTGCTGGCGCGAGCCGTGCAGCAGGAGGGTGAGACGGCCGCTCCCCATCGCCACGTTCCCAGAGCACGAGGGGAGGGAGAAGAAGGCGTTTGTTCTGTGTGTTCTTAAAAAAAAAAAATACTCGCTGATCCAAGTAAAGTGTACAAACTGCTCTTGCTTTTTTACCGTTCTGGGGTTGCAAGCGATTTTGCGGTAGAAAGATTGGAACCTGGGGGCAGACAAGACCGTGCTGAATCCTCTCTGTGTGTGCAGGCTTGTCAGGACCCCTGCTGTGGCTGCAGAACTGCCTGAACAGAACAGCGGACGACCGTGAGGAAGACGGTGAGTCTCGTTAGCCTGAGTATACCGTGGCCATTCAGCGATGCTAACGTGCTTTGAGAGAGTGTTGCGCACTTGTCTTTGTTTCCAGAAGGCTTCCTCATGGTCTTATCGTGCAGTCCTGAGCCTTAGAGCCACAGAGCAGATCGTATTACTGTGCTTAACTGGTGAATAAGAATGGAAGCAGCTACACAAGAAAGCCGTGCTAAAATGGAGAACAAGACAGGCCCAGTCTGTGTAATCTGTGAGGGAAACTGTAGCAGGAGTGGGATAATTAATTCCTTTTATAGCGCTTTTCTGGGCACTGCACTTGAGCACTTTACAGGTAATGGGGAATCCCACTGCTACCACCAATGTGTAGCCACACTTGGATGATGCAACAGCTAGGTGATTGGTTTGAGCTCCCCACACACCAGCTTCAGTGAGGAGGAGAGCAGAGCTGGGATAGTGCCATGCAGTCCGACTCGAGGGCATGTGGACCGTGAAGAGCACAGTCAGGATGCCCCCCCCCCCTCTTCCCCAGTCCAGTGCATGATGCCAGTATCCCTCTTTCCCTCCCTGCTCCAGGACTGTCCCAGCCCGTGCCGCTGGTCCCTCTCACCGAGGAGAACGAGGACGCCATGGAAAACAGGAGCTTCCAGAAGCTGCTGCGCAAGCTGGGCATCCGCGCGCCCGCCAACGAGCAGGTAGGCCTGGACGGGGAGCCACATCGGCCAGTCGGAGAACAGGGGGAAACAGGAAGTACCAGACCATGAGGCGTCAGTGATCAGGTGCCCCATGACTAGGAAGAAATAAATCTTGAAACCGGGGATGAGGTCTTCTGGCTGGAGAAGAAGGAGAGGTTGGTAAAGTGATGTGAACGGGAATGGCTGTATGTGTGGTTCCAGAGTAAGCAGGCCTCATGCGTCAGCATATCATCAGAGTGTCCGGTCTCTGTGCAGCTGCTGGCTGGTGGCGACGGGCCTGCTGCAGTGGGTGAGGGTGGACAGACCTGACAGAAGGGTAATACTCTGTGCTGATGAGACGTTCTCCCCTCTCGTTGTCAGGAGTCGTTCTGGAGGATCCCAGCAAAGCTGAGCCCAGTCCAGTTGAGGGCTGCAGCTGCCTCCCTGTCCCGGGAAGAGGGGGCTCCTGGGGAGGAGGCAGGGGAGACAGAGAGCCTCGCGGAGGAGCAGCGGGACTCCGCCGATCACGAGCAGAGAGCCCAGGCCCTGCGCGCGCTGTTGCTCGCTCGCAAGAGGAAACACCACCTTGCTCACGACACAGGTGAGTCTCTGTTCCCGTGTGCAGAACCTCAGCCCCTCTATAGACAGAAGAGCGTTCCAGTGTGCAAAACCTCAGCCCCTCACCTCAGGTGAGTCTGTAGTCCAGTGTGCAGAACCTCAGTCTCGGGGAGTCCTTTTCTAAGTTGGTATGAAAGAAGTCCTGTTTTAATTCGGCTGTACTGTATTTCCAGTCTGTGTGCACCAGTGAGGAATGTGGGACTTTGGGACCCCAGTAGAGACCTCCTGGATGTTGCAGGCTGATAGTTTCACTCTTGCCCTGTCTTTCAGATCCTCACTCCCCAGCAGAGTATGCAGAGCGAGTCCCGGAGGTCACCTCCGACAGCAGGAGCCCCAGGTGAGTGTCCGCCCTGCGGGGGGCCTGTTTGTGAGTGGGCTCCGAGTGGGGTAGAGTCGGGGTGGGTAGGTTCACTGTGTGCCTCCTGAAAGCTGACCCGTGGCTCTCTCCTCTCGCAGAGCCCTGCAGCAGGGAGACCACAGCAAGCTGCCTGCGAAGAGGAGCCGGGCTCTGGACAGCGACGAAGAGACAGGTACAGGAAAGTGCACAGCAGGAGCTGGTTGGGCTCTTAGTGGAGCTTGATGAGCCCGGGATCTTGTCCAGGTGGTTTCTGGGAGAAGCCAGGCTAGCCTGTTCTGTCTTGATTGCTTCTCTTCGTGTATTAGATCAGTTCAGTTCAGAAATGCTTATTTGCATGTATGCTTAATGTCTTTGTATTGGAGCATACATGCAAATAAACATTTCATTGCACTTGTGCATATGACAACAAACTGACATTGCACATCAGGAAGGCTTGTTCAACCTCTGATTGCAGTAGCTGCCCAGATCATGTTTCCTGCTTGTAGTTCAGGTTTGGGAACGCCGTGGATCTTTCGGAATGTAGCGAACTGAAAAAGTCTCTCTGGAGAGCATGGCTGGTCGCCGGGTCCCGGCTCTAGGACACACGGGGAGCAGCGGTGTCTTGGGTGCCTCAGATCCCTCTCTGTCCCGTTTTGCAGAGGAGAACGGCGACGCCTCCGTGCCGATGGATGTGGGGGGCGGCGATCCCGATTCCGACCCCGAGGGGTGCGCGGCCCCGGCTAAGCGCCGCCGCCAGAGGGCTCTGATTGACGATGAAGACGAGGACTAGAGCTGAATCCCGGCGAACCAAAGATCAGCAACCCTTTTTTTCTTTAACACCGTTCCAACACGTGGGTCTCATCTCCACCCCCCTGGAACACCTAGACGGGGGGTTTCTCCTGGGCCGTTCTGGCCCCTGGCCAGTGTGGCTGCACCAGCCTGGGCTCCAGTCTCGGCTGCGGCTCTTGTCACAGAATTAACGTGTTTTTCTATCCTGTACTCTCAGTGTGAATGTCAAAGGTCGTATTTCTGTACTGTCACAGGAGAGTGGCACTGATGGTACTCGAATGTCTTGCTGTTGGTTTATTCTACCAGTGGCCGTGCTGTGTTCTCTGTACAGACTCCTCTGCCCTTATGGCGGTCTGTCCTCGCGCCCATTTCCTGCTGGAGCCTCTGGGCCGGCGCCGCTGTCGTCTGGGTTGGCGCTGCAGGTGCAGAAGATCAACCGCAGTGCAGTGACCCAGTAACCCGGTTACCTTGGTCCTTTGGCAACGGCTGGCGTCCCGTTTTTACAGTCTGCACTTTTTCTCCAAGGTCCCCTAATGGAGCCTGGAAGCGGGAGACAGCACCGCCCTGTGGTTGAAAACGGGTACGGCAGTGTGTTGCATACATGAATGTCGAAATGAGCTGGATTTGTTGGCTGCAGTGCTCCTGCCTTTAACGGACCTGCTGGCCTGGGAGGTGATTGGTTTGAGTTATCTTGACATCTTCATGACCATACAGGTCACAAGAAAAGCTCAGGCGCCCCTTGACCAGGATCTGTTCTCATCGCTGGGGCTACTCTCTTGTTCCTACTGTTGGCTGCAGAAGACCAAACGTGTCCTCCCAGAGACAGCTGTATTGAACTAATGTCCAAAACCCTGAAATCTTTCTCCTGCCGAAATCTTCGCAAGGTTGTGTGTGCAGCAGCTCTGTACCCAGTGCAGTCTGGGATAGAAAGCTTTAGACGGGAGTTTTTTTTTTTAGTGCATTTCTCATACTGTAGTTCTGGGGAAGAATGTCCTCATGGGATAGAGGTGTTGGGGAATCGAGTGAGTTCTCGGGTTCGCTGGCTTCATTCTGACGTGACTTTAAAAACACTGCTAGCATGAATAATATTTGAAGATATACCCCAGACGAGTGCCCTTGACCATGCGCAGGCCCTGTTGATGCACAGTTGCTCCCGAGCCTGTGCTACGTGGTTCCAGTCCAGTAAAGGCTCTCCTGCTGGGGTTCGAGTGACCCGTGATGGAGGGGGTGCATCAGAGCACTAGGCCCACCTCACACAGGATTCAGGGGCATTTTCAGTGCGACTGTGTTGCTCGTGATAATGAGTCAGGTGGTTTTAAATGTGACTGAAGTCCACTAGCTGATTTTTAGGGGTGGCATTTGTAAACTAGGTGATTCTTTACAGAAATAAAATTTCAATGGGTACTGTGGGTGCCTTGCTTTCATCTTTCACGAAAGGAAAGCACTCCTCTGACATCAGCCAGTGATTTCACCGCTGTGACTGTCTTCTACCAAATGTGTTGGCACTCCAGGAAGCTGCTGTAAGGCCACTGGCCGAGCCTGAAACCCTCAGTGGGAATGACTGAGCCCGCTGGCGTCTCTCTCTGCTGCCGTGAGAGGTGCAGGTCAGGATTGGACAGCCCCGCTCCTGGGAAGCCAGTCATGTGCAGCTGGTTAGGATGGAGACTCAGAAAATGAGTGACAAGGGCACCCCTCCTGTAGATGGGAGCGACTCTGTGCATTTCAGGCACGCAGTGGGCACCCGGCACACCCTGCTCACGAGCCGCCCTGCACTGATGGGCGTGGCTCCGGCTTACCCACTGTGATCCAGCGTGCCAGTGGCCCTCCTGCAGGGCCAGTACGGGGTCGTGAAGGCGACCGAGCTGCCTGCCTCTCACCCAAACAGCCTCTTCTCAGGCTGCAAAGGAACAAGTAAAGGTTTATTCCCTGCTGAAAAGAAACCCAACGTTTTTGCTGTGGAGCCCTTTTCAGGTGTGTGGGAAGCGTTAGAAGGCTCCACAGCCGAAACGTTGGGTTTCTTTTCTGCTCTTTTCAGCAGGGAATAAATCTTTACTTGTTCCCTTGCAGCCTGCGCATGCTGACGCAGCTCCCTGCTTGAACCTCTTCTCAGGATCCCTGCTGTGATTAACTCCTCTCGGTGCGACAGTGTTGCTTCGGGGTTAGAGGGGACCTCGGGCTTTCTGCTTGTTAGAGGCTTCTGAGCCACAGACCCCAAATCTCCCCCCCCACATTACCACAACCCCAGGCAACTGAGCCCTTAACTTCAGCCCTCTTAAAGAACGTTTCCATCAGTGAACTTTTATTCCTACAACGTTGGATTCGCGTCTCCCTCCGAAGCAGCGGGCCCGCTGACGCTAGCGTGGAGAGCTCTGGGAGAAGTGACTGGGCGGAGGTTCAAGGACCCAGTGAGCCCTCGTCCCAGGGGACGCTTCTACAGCCGTCTCGTTATTGTTCAGAGTTGACGTCGTGTACCAAAAACGAATAAAAAGAAGTTGGAAGACGAAGGCCGCGTGTGTGTCCTTTGTGTTGAATGTGTAAATCTGAGAGTTGCGGATGAAGAGCAGTGTCCCGCTCAACGGCGATCTCGGTTGCTGCTTCCACAGGGCGATGCGGTGAAGTGATCGTGTTTGTTGCCAACAGAGGAGCAGGTGCACCCATATGCTTGTACCTGCGAAACAATGCTGAGATAATGGGGCTGTGCTTACACCTGGCTGTGGCCTCAGCCGTGCTGAAAGGTGGGCAGGCACTTTTCTGTGTGGGGAGATTTATTCCAGCCCATCTGCCCATCCGTTTTCTATACCCGCTTCTTCCAATTCAGGGTTGCAGGGAAGCTGGAGGTTATCACAAGGCGGGGTACACCCTGGAAGGGATACCAGTCCTTCACAGGGCTCGCGCACTCACAGTGGGGCCGGTGTGAAATATCGGGGACTGTGGTTGTGGAAATCCACACAGCTGCAGGGAGGACATATAAACCCGACTCTGCACAGCACCCCAAGTCTGGAATTGAGCCCAGGGCTCCAGTGCCATGAGGCAGGAATGCCCATCCCTGTGCTCCCATGCCACCTTTGTCCCAGTCGAAGTGAGAAACTTCAGCACTGGCAACTTCTCCTGCTTGTGAACGGATGTGTGGGTTTGTTAACCGCAGGTGGAGCGTCTGCGTAGAAGAGCACTTGTGCAGCTTTGTAAATGTCTGTCCAAAGGCAAAATAGGAAAGGTCGCTCATCTCCTGCGGGTGTGAATAAGAAAGTGGGCTGGGCGGACAGTGTTCTTTAGAACAACTCTTCAAGTCTGCCACCAGAGGGCGCACATTCCCCTCCCAATCAAAAATCCCGGTTTTTCGATCCGACTCGGCACAGTCCGGGATGGCCTTTCCCTTTCCTTTGAGCATAAGCATAATCTAGTTTGGGGGCTACAAGTGGAGAGGGTCAGCCAAAGGTCACAGGAAGTGAAAATGAAGTTCCTGGTTCAAGTCCCAGGAACTTCTTTTGATCTTTGGCCATGACCTTTAAGTCATGATCACCCTGTACAAGGTGCTTCATCATCCTCGTTCTCTCTCTTTCATATGAGACCTGGAACGGAGATCCTGCTGTCAGTAGCTCTGTATCAGTGTGTATGTGTGAGTAATTTACCTCTTAGTCACAGGCAGCCTGCTCTGTCTGTTAAATGGCAATTCAGAATAGGTAGTGAACCTCACCCTGTGTTTGCACTGTGCTCAGTGTTTATGTGGGTGTTGTCATAAACTGCTGGTTCCAGCGAGAGCACAGCTGGGCTGCGGTTTCTGGCTGTGTTCCTATCGGCCGTCTCTGGAGTACCCCGAGTGGAAGCTGTCCAGCTGGTCTGGTCAGGCTCTGAGGAAGGCTCTGGTCGGCCTTCCTCCTGGCTGCCGTTTCCTGGGGAGAACTGGGAATGTGTTCCAGATCCACCAGGGCGGCTGGGTCTTGGTCTCGGTCCGTGTGTCAGGGGGAGAGACCGGCGGGAAGATCCAGATGTTTCCCATCAGGGTCCACTCTCCCCTCTACCTTCCCCAGCTGTGGAGGGCTCTGCACATCTGGATTGCATTAAGTACTTCCTGCATGGGCTGCGCACCCCCCCTTCCCACGAGCCCCTGAGAGAAAGGGTGTGGGTGGGGGTGGGAGACGGGGGGACAGGGGGGAGATGTCAAAACATGATCACAGCCGGGGTCCTGCGAGATCTCCAGCAACACCCCGCTCTCTGGTCATGAAGAGTGCGAGAGAGAGGCAGGGATTCTCCGCAGACGTCCTGGCGCCTCGGACAGGGACAATCTTGTCCAATTCTCCACACGGACATGCGAACGCAAGCCCGAACAGGCCAGGGGGAGCTTGAAGAGACTGGCACCCCCCTCTCCGCAAGAGCTGCAGATCACAGCTGTCCTTAGCTGGACACTCAGGTCTGGTGATGGAGTTCCCTCAGCTAAAACTGGGGTCACAGTCCAAAAGCTGTGGCAGGGGGGACAGTCCTCTTGGGAGATGCATTTGCCTGCATTTGATTTGGCTGATCAGAGCGTTAAGGAGGGAAGGAAGGTTATTTCATTTGGCCAATCCTGCTTGCTTTTCTGCTAATCAAGCAAGTCAATCCCGGAGCCTCATTTCGCCATTTGATGAAGACTTGATGAAAACAGTATGGCTGGGTAGTTTGTTCCAGACACATACTACTCTTTGTGCAAAGTTGGGTTGAATCTTGTTTCATTGCCAAAATTGTACTAATCCTCCGATCTGATCTTTAGTTTCCTCTGCATTGCCAGTGCTCCTGTCGAAAGGGTCGGATTCTGACATGGAAAATGATGGGATTGCAGTAATATTGCTTAGACCGTGTCTGTACAGACTCACTCTGTGCAAGTGCTGCACATATACAAATGTCTCACCCCACAATATGAAGAGTCATTTTTATCTCTTAACTCCTGTTTATTGGTTTAGCTAGGAAATTTGCATTTCCTGGATCGGTTTTGGGGACCCCAGTGTAAATACTAGACCCCCCCCTCGTACCTGGATGCTCTCCAGGTTTGCTTTGTGTTTTTCACATTTCTGTTTCCTGTACCCAAAGAACAAAAACACTGTGGAAAATCTAGTCCCTGCTCCCAGATAACTCAACAACAGTCTGGGCCTCTGGATTTTCCAATAACAGAAGCCTGCCCTTCACAGACACACACACACAGACAGACCGATAACGCACAAACCCACATGCTCGTGCAGACATCAGGGCATGCGGCGAGACGGTGTATCCGTGTCCGTGTGCGTGTTTCCGGTGTGGGAGTCTGTGTGCGGATTCGGTAGGGCAGACCCGAGGGCAGAAGTGCGAAAGAGCAACAGCCCAGCGGACCGAGGCGGAGACCGCCATGGTCGAGCCCCATCCCCCAGAGGGCTCGGAGGCCGCTCGTATCGCCGCGGCGCCCCCCCAGCGGAGGGAGCGAGGGAGGGGAGGCAGAGTCTGGATCGATTTGCGGGGGACAACACGACCCACAAGGCAGGGCCGGACACGCGGCTGGACCCTGGCGCCCCTCTCCGCCCCTGTGGACCCCTGTGCCCATGAGATGCAATTAGAGCGCAGAGGGAAATGCTGTTCAACTTCCAAAATAAGGAGGTTAGTGTCTGATTACCAATTAGGAAGCTTTGGGGCTTCTTATGTAATGTCTGGATTCGAGCAAAGAGAAGCTCTGTTCCTTTTAAACCCAGTAACCCCCCCTCCTGGCCCAATTCACCCCCCCTCCTGGCCCAAACCTCATTAAGCTCGTTAATCCTATTGTTTGTTTTTGAATCCTCCAATTAGCAGCCGCCAGAGAGAGTCCGATCAAAGGTGACTGAAGAACACAACTCCATTGAGAGCAACTCCGGACTCGCTCTCTCCCCCTTTCCACAGGAGACGCATTTTTACACAAAGGGTGGCAGGGGTCTGGAACAAGATGTCTGGCCATTTTGTTGGTAAGGGCATCGACAACATGGCTGGGCACCTTGATCCAGAACCCTGGACACTGGCACCTCCCCTCTGCTCTCTGCTCCAGAACACAAAAACACAAGATTTGTTCCAAAACAATGGGCCATTAAGCCTGCATTGCTTGTTCGAGAGTTTAGCAACCAAGTGAAACTAAAATTTCATCTGTCAGCCACAAGAAATTACCCAGAAAATGAGCCCGAGGGCAGAAGTCTAAAATTCCATTTTTTTTCTCTGTTTTAATTTGTATACTAATTCTATGATGGTCGCAGCCTGTCTGAAGAACAGGTATACCATGTGACTTCTCTGATTAGTTCGATATGTTTCAGCAACCCTCCCTCTTACACCTGAGATATTCAGAAACAAGCCGCAAGAGGAATAGATTCATCATTTAACTGCCCATATCTAACTTTTCAAAGGGCGTAGGGCTGGTGTGTATTTATGCGTTTAGCTTACACTTTTCAGAGTTGGCGTGCATGTTCTGCTTGTGCTACCAGGCGCGTAAACATTAACGTGCCTTCGGCCCCAGAGGTCTTCCAGAGATCCGGGAAATCTCTGGACCCATACTTCCGGAGCGGAATGGTACAGTACCTCGAGCGGGCGCTCCCGCTGGGACTCTGGCAGCGCTTGACTGAAAATCAGCCTTCGTGGCCCTGTGAAAGACTGGGGTGTCTGTGTGTAAACGTGTCGTCTAGTTGCGGTTCCTAGCCGAGGGAACACTGCCGGCAGGCGGGCGAGGGGGGTCTGTCCGTGGGCCGGACGACAGGGTGGGGACAATGGCAGCGGTCAGCGGCCAGCGGCCAGGCGGGATAAACCGTCTCTTTCCCAGGCAGACAATGAAGTCATTATCCCCGTCTCCCGGGGAGGGCCAGCTCAGCCGGGCCGTTGGGAACCAGTGCCGTCCAAAGAGCCTTTTAGGAATTTAGGAATCTCGCCAGTGCGTAAAAAAAAAAAAGACCCGACTACACCCATTTAATTGTACTCGCACAAAAAAATCCTGTACGATCACGAATTATACAACACTGGTAACAGTTCCTCGAATGCGCGACGTTACTGTTGCAAACAGGAACTGGTTTCAAAGTCTGGAGCTGCCGAGCGAAACGCGAAGCCTCGTCTTCCGTTTCCCCGAGTCCTGCAACGCGACTCCCTCCAGCTGAGGGGCCGGGTCTCCCCGTCTCCTCCTCCGGCACCCGGCGCTAACAGATGGTCTCTGGGCGGTGATGTCAAACGTTTTCAGCTGTTGGCTGCATCCAGCGAGAGAGAGAGAGAGGGAGAAACTGGAGCCGTTTTTTTTCAGTTTGAGAGAATCGCTGAGAAGCCCCAGGGCATCAAAATTCACAGACCAAGAGGGAGGGAGGCGGAGAGGAAAACGACCTGAGAACCATTTGCCCTCTTGCGTTTTTTTTTCAAACCAGCAACGGCCTGCCGAGAAGAGTTTTTTTTTTCTTCAAATAACTAGCGAACGCGCAGCGATTTTCAAGTAAATATTTGGCCGCCGGAGAGCCCTTTCTCTGTCGTTTTGTCGTCCGCCGAAGTTGGAGAGAGAGAGAGAGGGGAGTGAAGTCGCAGACTCGCCTTGCTCGGAGAGAAACGGGACGGCGAAGGAAACGAAATCAGTTCCCGAGAGAGAAAACTGCTGAGACATTTCGGAGTTTCAACTGAAAAGTCTTCGGATTTCCCCCGTTCGCGGGACTGGATTTGCAGGTATCATTAAGAGGTATTTTTTAAAATTCTTTATGCACTTTCATGTCTGTTTTTTTTTTTTAAATACACATCAAGGACGATCCTTTCCCGACTAGGAAGATTTCATGTTTAACAGCAGTGAGCGCTATTGAGGGTTTATCGATCTAGATCAGCTTCTATATCAGCTAACTACATCCAGAGGTAAAAAGATACACCGCGCTTGTATGTTTTAACGGAAACACAAGTTGTTAAGCGCACAGTTGTCGCTCGCAGTGTTGTCTAAATCGCCGCTGAGCAGCGAAGAGCTGTTGCAGAAAGTCGCTACGCGAGAGAGTTGCTGCTGTTGTAAAAAGTGCTTGAACACGATGCTCAGTGTTTGAACTCGCGCCCGTGCCATTGTGTGCCCACGATCTCGGCAGTCCTCGCGCAGGGGTAATCCCGAATTAATGGACTGATCCCATCATTGCCCTTAATTTACACATGAAGAGTCACGATCACTGGCTTGTCACTGCTACACCTCCCTAAGCTGGCCGGAACGGGACTGTCGTCGGACGTCTTCATTTTACCTATTTCAAATCCCTAATCCCGTGAATAGGTCTCTTTCAAATGTATTTCTCCCCCCTTGTCTGCAGCTGAACTGCGGTTCAGGGATCCGCAACACTTCAGGGCTGCGACCACAGGGCCATTAATCAAGACTGACGCCCCCCTTTTCTGACTTCTTTCAGTCCGGGCCGATTTGATTCACTCGATTGTGTGCATTTAAACAAGTTGATACAAACGGTGAGAGGCGTACGAGCGATTCTGCAATGAATTCGGAAATGTAAACAGGCCGACGGCTCTTAAAAATCAGCGATCTGAAAGAATCGGTCAGGAGAGCACCCCTCTTCCTCTCGGTGCCCCCAATCCCTGTCTGCTCCCTCCATGACGGGGGTGCCCCCGGAAATGTGCACCCCACACTGGTGCAGTGTGGTTAGGGCCCTGGTCCCCATCAGGGGGTGCCTGTTGCCACACAGCTGCTGGGCAGCTCAGAACCTGGCTGGAAACCGGGGGGGCCTCTCTGGCTCATGTGGGTGCCAGGGGCTGATCGAACCAAGGGCTTCTCCGAGAGAGGCCGGGGTATCGGCTGAGACAACGGGGCAGCCAGTCCCCGCCTCCCACAATCCTTTGCAGCCAGAGGGCCAACTGGACATCGGCCCTCGGTGAAGATCGCTGCAGGACACGGAGCCAGTCGGGAGCCACCGTGGCCCCCAGCGACCCTTCCACCCATCACCCCTGTAGATCCACTCGGGGGGTGGCGTTTCCTGGCGGGTCCTTAGAAAACGAAGAGCAAAGAGCATTCGCACTCCAGCACCCTGTCCTGGGGAATTAGCACCTGGTGGCGAAGCTGGAAAGAGCCGGTTCAGTCTGTATCAGCTGCGAAAGTGTTAATGAAAATAGGTTTTCCACGCGGGTGCGAGATTAGAATTAACAGTGACTGCAGCTGGTGCCCATCACTCAGATCAACACGTTTTTGTCTTCTTTGATGAGTATCTTTCCTTAAACTCTGTCCGGTCCGTGGTGCCGGTCTGGTCCGGGGTCCGTTCGCCTGTCGTGCTCGGCGCCGCACGCCGGCGTGAATCAGCGCCGAATAAACTCCCAGAGAGAACCGGGAGACAAGTGCTGTCGAAGGAGCAGATTTCAGCTGAATGAAGGACCGAGGTTTTCTGAGGGCGCTGAGGCTGTTGTCCGTGACGGTGATCCTCATGAATAAACGCTTCCTCAAGTGGGTTTAGCCCCTAGTCACCCACTTCCTATAACTCATGCAGCGTAATGGCAGTGGTCCCGGGTGCAAATCACATGGATGGAGTCCTACCATGTTCTTTCTAATAAATAATAGAAATAATGTTTACACTTCTTTCAAAGCGCTTTATAGATAACAAGGACTCCCCTCCACCACCTGGGTGATGCAACAGCAGTCAGAGTGAACCAGTACTCTCACCACACACCAGCTATTAGTGGGGAGGAGAACAGAGTGATGAAGCCAGTTCAGAGATGGGGGATTATTAGGAGGCCATGATTGGTAAGGGCCAATGGGATATTAGGCCAGGATGCCGGGGTTACACCCCTACTCTTTTTGAGAAACACCCTGGGGGTCTTAATGACCACAGAGAGTCAGGACCTCGGTTTTATGTCTCATCCAAAGGACGAGGCCTGTTTACAGTATAGTGTCCCCGTCACTATACTGGGGCATTAGGACCGACACAGACCGCAGGGTGAGCGCCCCCTGCTGGCCCCACTAACACCTCTTCCAGCAGCAGCCTCAGCTTTCCCAGGAGGTCTCTTATCCAGGTACTGGCCCGGCTCACACCTGCTGAGCTTCAGTGGGCTGCCAGCTGTGAGTTGCAGGGTGTTGTAGCTGCTGGCATCTCTCCTGGCACGGCCGATAGTGGCGAGCGGGGTTCTGAGACAGCATTGTGCCACGCCCCCTGTCGCAGCGCCTTGCAGTGGGGTGTCTGTCCCTGTGGTCGCGTCCGCAGACTGGCTGCCCACCGGCTGCCCTGTCCTCATCTGCTGTGGACAGGCAGCTCCAGCTCTTGTTGGAGCTTTGCGGTGTCTTGATCACCCTGTTAGAAGCCCTGTAAGGTCTGGATGCTGTCTGGCCTGTCTTGCTCATTCGGCTGCCAGAAGCTCGGGGATGCGTCGATCTTGCCTGGCTGTTTGTCGAGCAGGAAGCCTCAGATCCGTGGCTGGGCCGGCTCTTCCAGGTGCTCTGCCGATGCCGCGGGGCTGACTGGTGCTGGGGCATGTGCCACAGTCCCGCCTTGCGCCACGCTGACCTCGCTGTTCTGTGCTGGCAGGGGGTCCTGCCAGGCCGGGTCCCTGCTCGGCTTCTGGGGCCAGTGGCCCGTTCGAGCGGTAACTGGCGCTTGGCGCTGGGCCACAGTCCTGCCAAGCAGGGCGCAATGAACTTGGCGGCAGTATTGCCAAGTGGGGATTAGAAGACTGATAGACGGCAGCTTGCAGAAGCTAAAAGGGCAAAACCGCTCTCCTGTTGCAGAT